TTTCCCTGAAAATACGACCTGTACTGAAATTAATGCCTTGCCACATTTTTCACGTCGACAAAAATATAAGCCCCCCCCCTGAAAATAACCCCCCTCCGACCAGGCAGAACACTGCTCACCAACATAGTGATATCCCGAAGGCGCCAAGCTGCGGGAGCTGGGGGGGGAGGCGCTAACGTTGCTTGCTGCCTTTGGGATACCGCTAGGTTGGGGAGTGGCGTTCTGCCTGGCCGGAGGGGGGAGTTGCCAGGCGGCTGCTCCCTTCCGAGCGGGCTCCCGAAGAGCCGGGCACAGCCTCAGGGGTGAAGCAGCCATGAGGTAACCACACTCACAAGCAGCAAATCTCCTCACCAGCTGGGCAGAGCGCCATTCACCGACCTAGGGGGTATCACTAAGGCGCCAAGTCATGTGGCACTCTGCCCATTCCCCAGCTCCCGCGGCTTGGCACATTTGGGATACCCCGTAGGTCAGTGCATGGAGCTCTGCCTGGCTGGAGGGGGAGTGGGTTGTGTGAGCGCCTGTTCCCTCGCCAGCTCCCCAAGCCCTTGCGCAGCTCTCCCAGGGCATCGCCGCTGGCCGTTGCCACCACGCTCCGAGCATAACTTCCAAACTCCAAAACTCGGGACCGAGTCTTCCAGCATCACCCGCTCTAGGAATGCTCTCTATGCTGGCCAGGCTGCTGGAAGACTCTCTGTCCGGAAGACACTCTGTCCGGCAGCCAGTCCACCATAGAGAGCACTCCTAGAGCGGCTGATGCTGGAAGACTCGGCGCCAAGTTTTGGAGTTTGGAAGTTATGCTTGGAGCGTGGTAGTGGCAGGTGGTGGCGGCCAGCAGCAGTGCCCTGGGAGAGCTGCGCAAGGGCTTGGTGAGGCTAGAGGTGGAACAGGCGCTCGCCCAACCCCCCTCTCCAGCCGGGCAGAGCTCCATGCACTGACCTACAGGGTATCCCAAATGTGCCAAGCCGCGGGAGCTGGGGGGCGGACAGAGTGTCACATGGCTTGGCACCTTAGTGATACCTCCTAGGCCAGTGAATGGCGCTTTGCCTGGCTGGAGAGGGGATTTGCCAGGCAGCTGCTCGTAAGCGTGGTTACCTCATAACTGCTTTGCCCCTGAGGCTGTGCCCGGCTCTTCGGGAGCCAGTTCGCAAGGGAGCAGCCACCCGGCAACCCCAAAACAATAAGCTCTTCCTGATAATAAGCCCAAGGCCATATTTCATGGGACAAAAGAAAATAAGACCCTGTCGTATTTTCAGGGAAACACGGTAGCACTAAATGAGATGCAACACATATCTAAGCCACCAAATGTTTGAACAAAGTATTGCTTTCGTATCACATATGAATTATGCAGAGACTAATTCTGAGAAAAAAATACGAATCTACCTCTGGAGTGTCGATGTCTTGCACTGGTGAATCACCATCATCATCACTGCCTTTTCTCTTTCTTCTGTTTCTGACACTCTGAATTAAGTTTTTGTGGAAATCACAAATATAAAGATGTCTTGCCTGAAAGTTTAAAGAGATACCGTAATTTAACATGCATCTCTGTAACATTTTCTGTAATCATAATTCACATGCAAATGATTTTATTAATATATTGTAAGCAAAGCAATGACATTAATCACTAACCCTTCTGATTCAAAGGTGGGTTGCTCCCGGTTTGGTCCGGTTCAGCCAAAGTGATAGTGGAATTGTGGCCTGGTCGCAGAACTGGTGGCGACCCAGGCTGGCCATGTCCCGAACTAGTTCCCTGATCTCTTAGACTGTTGCCAGCATGTTTCTGCACACGCGCAGAACAATATTTAGTCAACTGCACATGCACCAGCAATGCGCGGCCAGTGCACGCGCACAACGAACCAGTACTAACCAATATAGGAACCCACTTCTGATCTGACTGCACTAGTTGATGTAAGAGGAAATTTGGCACCTTAGTTACTGCAGTACCATCATGACTTAGCAAATGTTTTTTAACCTTTTTAACCTACTAGCTAAGCAAACTCGAAGAAAATGAAGTGATACTGTGTTCATGTATATACAAAATGTACAGACAGGAAAATAACTATTCTACAAAAAAAGAAATGTTCAATTCTCAAAAAGTAATTTAACTTTCCTAATATGTTTTAGAATATTAAATTGCAGAAGTAAAATTTCTGACTGTTTTCTATGCAAAATAGATATTTTTGATTGTGCACTGAGTAATAAAAAAGCAACAAAGCCACTTTAAGAAAAAATATGTATGGGTAATTTAATGATGCATACACAATATTAGAATTATTTCTATCACAGAAACAAGTTGTTTCAGGAAAAATGCCCACTAAAGAACTAAAGTTTGGCAATAGATGCAATAAAGTACAGGATATTTTATTGGCACTCAAAACTATAGGATCAATAGTATATTTACTAAAAGAATATTGAAGAGCCTCAAAGCCCACAAGGTTACAAGTTATATATTCTCTGAAATAATACAAAGGACTTACAAAAACCAAGTGAATGATAACATGATTTTATACCAGGAATATAGAATCCGATAACATAGGTTGACCTCACAAGACCCATGCTTTAAGTTTTGCTCTTCCAAGAAGCTCCTGACCTTTCTACTGATATTAACACCTTATAAATTAGAGAGTGTCCTTCCATGCTTGATAATAAGCAACCAACTTATTCCTAATAACCAACAATAACCAACTTATTCCTAACAAGTTGCTTTTTGTTTTTGTTATCTACTTCCATTCAATAGTCATCTGACAATTCCAGCTTGTCTCATTCCATATACACTTCAGGATCATATATACAGATAGAATATTATTTATCCCCCATATTCCTCAATTTTCTTTTCCCTCCTTTGGTGGACAATACAGTGGATGGAGACCAGAATGAGAACAGACAGACTATCCTGGAGTCTTACAGTTGACATCAGGAATTACAAACCATACAACAAGTTCCACAACAAGACAGTCCACGCATTATCCATACATATATAAGCATTCTTTCAGAAAGAATAAAAATACAATAAACAAATATTTGTTATTCACTAAGTATTATATGGCAGTAATTTATGTTCTAGGACTTAGGTTTTACTTATTTCTTCCAGAGTGTGTGGTTGTGAATCAATGCAATGTTAGTTTGCATATGGGTATGCTGATTAATCTAAAGCAACATGAAAAATGCACTAATTTTCATGCTACACTTCCATTGTGACATAAAAGCCCCCACAAAGTACTAGGATAGATAAGCATTAACCATCTAACTATATTTATTTGTTTTACAAAATCTAATAACGCTTCCTGTCAAGAAAGTATCTAGCAGTGTACAATAAAGTAGCAATTCTAAATCTATTTGCTAAGGACAGAGTAGCTCACTGAATTCTAATTTTCTAGTAAAAATAAATATTCTAGTTGTGCTATTAATCCACTAAGGATCACACTGTAGGAGTTTATTATCATCTTTGTTTTGGTTTAGGAATGAGTAGCATGCTTGGCAAGTAGTAAGGGGACACACACACACCAATGTGAATCTTCAAGGAATTTCTGCAATTAATCATATCATACGCTGCCAACATTTAACAACATTGTTTAATTCCATCAATACCGATAACGAGACATTTCCCAGACTTGTTCTTTCCGGTGGAAAAAATCACAAGTATCCGCTCTACATGAACCTAACAGATGTTTACTGTCTGGATTACGTGCTTCGAGTTTAGGAATATCTCGCACTAAAGAGGTTTTTCTCATTCTTTTATTTAGCAATGTATGCAGAAGCCACGAATACCGTATATTTTGGGGCATTTTGTATTTTAAAAAGAAAGGTTTTCTAAGAGCTTGATGGCTGCCAAGAGGAAGACGACAAAGTGGCAAAATGAGACGTGCAACGCTGCAGCACGAGGCGGAGCAGTCAAGTCCTGTCCTCTCCAGAAGGAAACAAATTCAGTGCTTCATGTAACACACACCAATGATCGCTACGAACAGCGATAAACAATACTTGCAATTTATTGCCTAGAGACCTTCACACGACTTTATGCTAAATCCCACCACCATGTTCAAGGGGAAAAGAATGAGCTGAGAGGACAGACAAAAGCAGAAAAGAGCAACAAGAGAAGCTACTCACAAAGACCAGTAGCTGAGGCTGCTCGGCTTTTGCAGCGTCAGCCCACAGCCAACTAAACAGCAAGAGCAAACAAAAACAGAAACAACAAGCTTGGTAACAGCTAACCCTTCAAAGATCTGGAAGGAAGAGGAGAAAAAGAAGATAAAATCGCCCCTGTCAAGTCTTTTCCAGGTCTAAAGCCTTCTCCATGCAAATAAATATTTAATATATATTCCTAATATAGACAAAACACAAGTCGCCACAAAAAGCTGGAATGGGCTGTAAGAAAAGAGCAAATTTTCCTTTCAATAAAGCTGTTCTTCCAGAGAGAGAAAGCCAAGCCAAACCATACTAAAATCAAAGGAATTAGAAATCAACACAGCCAGACCACAGAACCTTTGGCTTATCCGGAAAAGCATCTTTCCCATTCATTCCCCGTAGTCGGTTCGTTTTTGTCGTCTTACTGTAACCGCCACCGCTGAGGTTATATGGGGCTGGCGATAGCGGCTTTTAAAAAGGTCAAGGGATAATCCCAAATCAACCAAAGCCAGGAGCTCCCCGCAGATTTAAGACACTTACACTTTTGTCCAGCTCGATCTTCACCTTCTTCTGCGAGATGCTCTTCTGGATCCGCTTGCTGAAGCTGGCGTTGCCCGCAGCTCGGTTACATCTCTCGCCCTCCTCCCGTAAGCAGCATAACTGCCCAGCACCGGGTCCTGCAGTCCCAAGGGGACCGGCTGAGCCCGCGGCTATCGCAGCAGCAGCCGACGAAGTCGCTCCCAGCCCGGCCGTCGGCTGCGGAAGGGGTGGCGGGGGCGGCAGGACTTCCACCGCGGCGGTAGCGTTAGCTACAACGGCTGGGACGGCGGCGGCTTCTCCCCCACCGCGGGTCACTTCCTCGGGGCCAAAGCCGTTCATCGCCCGCCTGAGTTAAGGTGCGGGCTTGCTCCGGTAAGACTAAAACCCACTGAAGTAAAGTAACTCAACTGGGCGGCGTTCCTGCTGACGCTCCCCCCTGACTCCTTCCAGACACCGCCTCCGTCTCCTTTTGTCAGGAGGGGATCGGAGGAAGGCCCCTCGGCCTCTGGCAGTCCTTGGGCTCTTGCAGTCCTCTCGCAATGCCAAGGGGCCAAGGGCTACGCTGCAATGTGGGAAAGACAAAGTCGGACACGCCCCGAGTCCTTTAGATGAGAGTGGTACAAAATGCCCGCTCCTTTTGCTCCCAAGACTGACATTGAGGGGAGAAATGGAAACTCCACCCTCCCGCCTCTTTTCTCCCTGTAAAAAGCAGAGCCCAGCTTTTTCCTTCAAGTAGCCGCGGCTCCAGAATCTTGCCTCCCCGGAATAATTAAAATTCCGCCTCCTTCCTTGGTAAAGCTACGGACAGGTCGACTCCGTTTGCTCCTTTCCGCACTCTTTTCAACCGGCTGTGCACTTTTCGGTTGTTTCCAAATTGCAATAGCAACAACCTGCCCCAATGCTGTTTTTCTCCTCCGCCTTTCCTCATCTTCCCCGGGGCTTCTCGGGAAGAGTAGTTTCCCCGTCTCGCCTTCCATTAAAGGAGCCGAGAGCGCGGACTACAACTCCCAAGATGCACCTTTGGTGTTAAGCAGGACTTGTATTTACAAAGCGGTCAAACGCGGCGGCTTAGCGGATCTTCGCTTGGACGCGCGCGCGCAAGCCACTTGACTGGCTGTGGCGAGCAGCCTTCGGAAAGGCAGCGAATGAGGGGCCTCTCTACCCTCCTGTCGTCTTACTAGGCGGAAGCACGAAAACAAGATCTCCTTCGGTTTATTACACTGGAATGGCTATGGAAAGGTCTTACGCTGCAGTACGCGCATTATCACGTACTACGTCTATCTAACTGGCGTTTGTTAGAGGACACCTGGTTGGAAGAGGCGGCGCTTCGAGCAGCCGTTGATGTTTGAAATCTGTACTGAAGGTTTCGGGAGGGGGAAAATGGAACCGTTGCTTTCTCGTTGTTTGCTGCGGTCTGTCTCCTGGAAGCAATAAAGCGCGGTGCTTTCAGTTGCTGTTCTCCATGACTGAGCTGATCTCCAACTTGCGTTTTCTAGAAGCGCTTTTAAAAGCGCTTCTAGAAAATGCAGCAAGTTGGAGACTCTTTTAGCTTGGTGTGGACTTCGCTCAAGACGGTTTTGTGCGAAGCCTTTTGTCAGTTCAAGAGGAGGTAGTCTTGTAGAAAATATTCTAGCAACACTCGAACTTAGTAGAATATTTCCTCCCTACAGACAAAATACAAATCATTTGAATAAGAAAATACGGCCATTATTCAACTAAATAACTTTTAAGGTAGTTCATAAATTTTAATAATGATTTTATTAACACTAATTTTAATATAGCACAGTACATACTTTCTAAAACGTATTTTCTAATAGCTAGACTAAAGACGTGCATAAATATGTATAATGATGTGGGAAGTTATCATCTAGCCCTCTCCCAGAAAAAATGAAATATCCTAGGAAATATTGAAAAGGCAGAATATTTCTCTGGATATGAAAACTCTCCACATGGCATCTGAGAACTCACCTATACCTGGATTCAAAACACAGCCTAGAGCAGTGATGGGCAACCTTTTTGGCATGGTGTGGCAAAAATCGGCAAAAAATCGAGCATAACTCGCGTTGTGTGTCACTTCGACAAAAACATAATTTTGCCA